TTTCTAAGTCTCCCATTTGTTTTCGTAGCTCATAGGCCTGTCTCCCAATGCCGTTGGAATTGAACACTACAACTTGCAGAGACATATGGACTGTTACCGCCATTACGATTCAGTAGACTGAAACAACCTTGGTGATAACTGCAACCTTTTCCTCTTCTAACGCAAAACTTGAGGACCCTGTCATATTCTGCTGCACTCTAGTCAAGGCAACAAACATGTCGCCCGTTGCATTACAATTTACAGCTTTTTCCTGCACTGACTGGCCTGAAGCTTTCTTGGCGACCTGTTGTTTCTGGGGACCTATAGACTTTTTCTGCTGTGCTGATGGCCGCTTCGCTTCCATGGAGGTGCATGGATACGAGGCGAACGACCACTCGGGAGTTGTGTATTTGGTGAAGAAGGTTCTCACTGATGACCCATGGTTTGTCATGCGTTGGTTCAACCTGCGCCGGAGCTCCTCTTTTGCATAACTGCAACCCCTGTAGTTGGTTGGATGGGGTGACCCACCATCTTTCAGCTTACAGACGCTGCAGCTTAGGATGCTCTCGGCGTTCTCCTTTTCCGGGCATTCACGGTGGCGGTGACCACCATCACACCACAAGCATAGAGGAGGCAGCTTGCAGTGGACCCAAATGTGACCAAAGCGCTGGTGGTTGTGACACTGGGTGAGACCAATTTTGGATTTGTAAGCCTCTACCTTGACAATTATATCGCAGAAGTTGGTGGTTTCGAAGATTTCTTGGGATATTTGGTTTCTCACCAGGGTGACAAGGTAGAGGGGAAGGGATACGAGAGTGTCTCCTTCTGTCGGAGGAAGGGCGTTTCGCCGTCATGTGCTTGATGCTGATGACTTCGTAGCCCAGCTCCTGGAGGGCCATCGTGATGTCTTTCGACGAGGTGTTACTCGGCATATGCCTGATAACAGCTTTTACATATTTGTCTCCTTTGGTGTAGAAGGGAAAGAACGGGAGACCTTTTTGACTTAACAGGTTCTTCATAGCTTTATAATCTGCCATGCTTTTGGTTGTGATCCGGGTACCAGATGCAGTGTTTTGGAAGAACTCCCCTGTCATAACAGTTTTCAGTTCTTTCTGAAGGCCAAGGAGTTAGCCTCAGAATCTAGGGTTATAGGGGGTGGTCTGCCTTTGTCAGTGTTGTCATCTGTAGATGGCTCTTCGTCGCTTACCATCCATGGGCACGAACCTGAGCGTGGCAAAGAAATTCTTTGTTGCTACAGGCCGCGGCTTTTGGTAGACCGGAAGTGGTTTAGATTTTTCGTTCACCTCCCTCTTGGTGATGCTGCTGCCGTCGTCAGAGTCACTGTTTCTCTTTCGACGTCTGCTATGGGGCGCATCCTCAATGCCTTGAGTAGATTCCGGCAGGAGACTGTCCATCAACTCCTAGTATATATTGCTGCATAAAGTCACACCATTCCAGTGAACAGGGCCTTCCCGTCCAGATGTTTACATAGTATGCTATTTCCAGTCTCTGCTTTGTCTATCAGGCGTTTCCACGTATCGCCGTTGCCATTTTTTCTGCGGTGAGGTCTGGATGAGCTGGCCTATTTTTACGAGCCACATCCAAACTAAGTTGATCTCCGTTGCGTCGGGATTGTTGGTCAGTAGTTTTTCGTACTGCTTGTCAAAGGGTGCAAGCACCGAACGCCATCATACATCGCACAGATTGGGCGTCACCAGCGCCATGCCTAAAGTTAGCTGGCCAGAGCACGGCAGCCCTTCACACTCAACGCGCTCCACCACTCTTACGAGTAGGGGAGTGGATTCATTTAACTAACACTTAGTAACCAGTCAAATTTGACCAAAGTATCAGTAATCACTCTTTAACCGCCAATAATCACTCCAACCGATCGATCATCAACCGATGACTGATGATTCCCGAACCCATACCGAATGGCCTGTTCTCAAAAATGTTCACTCTCTGATCTATCACCGTTAATCACTAGAATCACTCAACTGCAACTCTTCAATGCCACTGTCTCTGTAATCATTACTGTTGCAGGATTTTCCTAGCACCAGCTGTTTACTCAGCCGTTGCTGGGCAGCGAGTTGTTTCTAGCTTCTGACTGACTATCACACGCATCACACGATCCACTATGTGTGCTTAAATAGCAACGACTGTTTACTGACCGTTGTTAAGCAATGGTACCTGAGCGGTCCCTGTAGCATTTGCTTGAATGTAGGCAGTTCCCACACTTCATTCAACAATACGTTCCCAGGTAACGAACCTGCAGTCAACGAGACGTTCCCAGGCAACGAACCTTCAATGTAAGTTATCCAGTTTCCGGTCTAACTTCATTACTGTCCGGCTTACAACACGCACCAACTAATAGAGCAAACGCTATGCAGTCATAAATCATAAGTCAAGGAATAAAAGAGGATACATGTCTCAATTCCTCACAGAAATTATACCAAGATTTTGCAGGGGACGAAGAAAAATTGTGCGGTGCTGCATAGAAAACTCAAGACGGAATGTAAGTTAAAGAAAAATTTGCATAAGGAACTCAATAACTCAACGAAATAAAACTCTTTTTAGTTCTCTATTTAAAAGAACATATTTCCTCACAAATGCTCAGTAAATGAAATTTACAGCATTTACTATTAATGTTTATAACCTTACATCTTAGAAATGCAAAATCAAATCATGTCATTGCAACATACAAGTATGTTCGAATATGTCCAGCAATGATAGCGAGAGCTCTTTTTACCATGTTTGTGATCACTTTGTGGAGCACCTGTAAACTGATGCTGTTAATCGTCGTCGTAATATTCATTTTGTGGTCATCCAGTGTATGCGGGTTGTTTTTATAGACAATTCCTTTGAGGTACACCCAAAAGAAAAAATCTGCGGGTGACAAATCGGGCGAAGGCGGCGGCCACAATTCTTTCGAAATGAGACGGTCACCGGAAAACTCTCGCAAGAACTGTATGGTTTCGTTAGATGTGTGACATGTGGCCCCGTATTGCTGCAACCAAAACTCTCGTTCATCAACTTCAAGAAGTGCAATAAACTGTGTAATGTTGTCTTGGTACACTGGACTGTTCACTGTTGTTTCAAAGTATACTGGGCCCAATATTCGACGACGTGATACAGCACACCACACTGAAATTTTCTGACAGTGCAAGGGCTTTTCATGTAACATGTGAATTTTCAGATAACCAAATCCTATTGTTTTAACTGTTCACGTAGCCACTAAAGTGAAGCCACAGCCGCGCCGTAGCTCAAGCGGTTAGTCGCTGGCTTCCCACCTCAGCGGCCCGGGTTTTATCCAGGGGTCTGATCAAGTGCGATTTGTGCTGGACAAAGTGGCACTGGGGCGGGTTTTCTCCGAGTACTTCGGTTCCCCTGCCACTCTTCATTCTACCAAATTTTCCATCATCATAATCGTATTAACTGCAATAGAATTGGCTTAGAATAGGCTAATCATTGGCCGCCGTGCCCAGTGGACCAATTGGACTCTACCCCCCACTAAGCGAATTAAAAAAAGGTGAAACCACGCTTCGTCAGTGAAGAAACTCCGATCATACTCTTCAATTGAATGGTTCCGCAAATGAAAACTCATTGTTCTTGGGAAAACGACATGTCTGTGACGCAATAAACTAAGCTATACTGCAGACCGATACACGACAGATGGCGTTTCTACTCGTTGTTAGTACTCCTACAGTACCATCTAGCGGTAGGAGATATAATTATATTAACTGCAATACAATTTATAACAACTTTTAGTTTTATGTGTGGGACTTTTTGATCTTCCTTAATTTTATTCTTCCACGGCAGCTAAATCCGATGAAACCTTTACTGGCTATCAGCCATGTCAGTTGGCTAAGAAATTAGACGTTTAAGGGACCATTCCTCTTCCCATCAACAGCGTCTAATGTGTCGTTAAAGCCAAAATCATTTTACAGCTGGCGATCAGCTATTCAGTGTATCCTAGTGTTGAGTCCCATTCTGTGGCTCATGACCAGATTTTTGTCTTTTCAAAGCAGTTATATTTCTGTTGTTGCATGGTGTCCATTCTGACGAGAGGACAAATGTGACTAAAAGCCTGGTCTGGTAAATAGCTGCTGGTTCCCACCAGCACAATCATTATTGGTTTCGGACCTTGTCGGGTCTCATGACAATTTTTTCCTTTCTAAGACCTTTACATATTTTGAAATGGGGCCGCTTCTTCGAAGAGAGGAAATGATTCGCTGTAAACCACCAGTCGTAAACTCTGACTCTGATAAAGTGTAGTTTCAGAGTGGTCTGAAAGCTCTCAGAGCCCCCAGGCAGAAATATATGGGCATGAGTCCAGTGGGACACAGAGGCACCCGAAAAGACATAAATCTGGTCATGAGTCACAGAATGGGACTAAATACCAAGACACACTGACTGGTTGACGCCATTCTTAACGTGACTTTGACTTTGATTTAGTCAGATCAGAACCTGATGATAGAGGTAGAGATGATTCTTGAATCTTCAGTAATTTTTAACCAATTGACAGGGATGATAGCCCGATAAGATTGTAGCAATTTATTAAACAAGTTCTGATAAGTTTCCCTTAGCGTTATTTGTATTTTGCAGCTGGACAAAATAAATAGCAAAATTCATGGGAGCTTGAGAGCGAGATTTTATACTTCTTATTTAAATATGTAGCTCAAGGAGTACCTACTGGCGATGTATGCAAAACTACCCATTAATACTTTGTAGGATTTGAGATTCTCACAGAGGTATTTTATCTCCTGTGGTACTACGCCGCGAAGTCCGTTGCAAGGCAATCGACGTTTCGGAGACATGTCGCCTCCATCTTTGGCATTCGAACCGTCGGTTTTCTTTCATTGTACAACACGGTATTGTGTTCTAGCAAACAAATTCCTATTCCTATTTTATCGTAAAACTATCGAACAGATGAGTCGACTGTCATCCAAGCTAGTCACAGATCGTCGTATTGTGTGTACTTTTTAATCTCTGGTAAGTAGAATCGTCTATCGCATAATGTATCTTTGAAAGTATAGATGGAGAAATTAGGTCTTGTTTAACCAACTCAGAGACATCTCAATGAAGAAGAGAACGTTTTATTGCCATTTATGTTATAGACATACAGTTTTCGCGATTGGTCTAGACTAACACTGTGAGAGAGACATGAACGACATGAACTTGGTGGAATTATTACAGACATAAGTTACTAGTGAGGCTAGGGAGAGCAGACAGAAGAAAATATCTGACAAAATGGCTTCCGGGAATAACATAGATGGTATAGAAGTGGAAGAAACGTCATTTAACATGAAATCTGACGAAAGTAAGGGAACGAAAGAAGGAAGTGGCGATGAAGATGGTATGAGGCGTAATATATTTCAGTTGTTTAATGTGCATTGTATTTCTTACTTTGGCTTGTATGTTAGTTTGTATCTCAAGTAGGCATATGACAACAGGTTCGCCTGGTTTAATGAGTCACATTTAGGGCCAGAGTTAGTTCATATTGTAGTAACATACCTCCACGCCGCTCTCAAAATGTAAATTTACTTTAATTTTGTCGTTTTCAATAGTCCAAGATCAGTTTATGAAGTGGAACGAGTATAAACTATGTGGTCAAAATAGGAGCACAAGTGGATGACAGATAGGTGCAATGGAATATGTTTATGTTGTAAGTGTACGCTAGTAGACAAATATAAACTTATCGATAATACAGTCTGTTAAGTTTTTTTACGTGTTTAATGAAATTCTCTTTTTGGGGATGTTACGTTATGTAGATCACCACACCATGCAGTTTTAGAGAATGCCTGAATGAACCACGTGCATTTTATTTGGATATAAAGTGCAATATGAAGTTTTGTGTACTACAAGGTATAAAGCTTTTGATGGGCTAGAATTAGGTAAAAGTTTGGATTCAAGCATTGTCCTGTTGTAATTCCACAGTTCCACAGTGCTCCTGCTGCCTGTATGATCTTGCACATCATGATGATTTTACAACACTCTGAAGTTTTATAGATATTTCCATCACACAGTTTAAACATTTGACAAAAGCAGAATGTCACATCACAGTTATGCTACAAGTGATTAAAAGTTTGCCATTATTGTCAAAGTGAGATTCTCCAATTTGATCTTGTCAAAATAGGAAATGTTTTGAATATGTTTGCAGCATATGAAAAGTGAACTAAGTCTAAACAGTTGAAGTTAAACTGGTGTCTAGAATCAATTCTCCTACCTTGCTTTAACAGTGAATGATGGGAGAGGGAAGTGGTAAAGTAATATGGTTAAATTGATTGCATATACTAGAGTTTTATCAAATTTAACTAAAATTACCTAATCATATATTAATAGCAACATGACAGGTCAGTAGGTGACTTAGTAACACTTGTTAGAATGTGACATGGTGACTTCTGCACAATGTTGTCAGCCAAAAGTAATGTTGTACTTGTTCAGAGATGAAAATTACATGCACGACATATACATGGAATGATGAAAGTACATCAATACATTGCGTAGTCCGGGTAATCGGTTCCGCCAGTATCCCAGACTGTTTGAAACCGGACTAATTGAGGAACTAAATACTTACAAAAACGATAATTGGTTCCAAAAAAAAAAATCTCCATTTTTCAATAAATAAAACGCGATTAATAAATTCAGATGTCTTTATTAGAAATAATTTTAAAAAATTCATGTTTTTCGCAATTCATTTCTTGTTCTCTAAAAATTGCAATATTGATGTCTGCACATGTTTTTTCTTTGGCCTTTTGTCTTCATACATTTCTTTGTAGCAATGAATTGCATTGTTTATCGTTCAGCGAATTGTAAGGCTACGTTCAGTCTTGGGATCAACTGCCATAATATGCTTTGACAAGGTTTCAGCGATTCCAATAATTTTTGATAGTTGTTCAACTGTTAATTCTTGTGCAGGCACTTCAACACAGTCATCATTGTCTAAGTTGTCCTCCCATTCGTCATAAGCCCGTTGTTCATCTGTGTTAATAAGTGTTTCATTATCTAGTTCATTAGTGTTCGATTTGATGCACTCAATTACATTGATGGAATCTAACTCATTGAAACCAAGTTGCTGTCCAGTATCCACTGTGTTATTAGTAACTTCAGCAAAAGAAGTTTCAAAACCAATGAAATTATTTGCACAATGTGATATGATATGTTCCCATACTGCCCTCATATTGCTTGCCGTTAATTCATGCCATGCTTTGCCTATATTTTCAATAACATTTCTGATGTTGTAGCTCTTGCAAAGTTCCGTTAAAGTAGTGCTCCCCCCACCTCCTCCAGCGATAGCTGTCAGAGGTCAAGAACGAATGACCTAAGCATGGGTACATACATATACAATGGGAACCCCAGAAAAAATTGAAATATGTATCATATCGCATAACTTTAAAACCACATAAAAATAAACCGCACAGAAAGAGACTTGACTGTGTAAAGGGAAAAAAACGATCATTTATGTATTAAAAATAATTTTGTTCACTAATTTTTTAGAATTAATATTTATTTTCCTTAATTAAAATTTAGTTCGTTTTGAGTATTAAGCATTAAACATATAGGGAACCTACATGACATACTGAACAGTTTACAACTTTCATAAATTTGTTTTTGGCAGTTTTCTCTTGCAAGTGAGAAGTATGAAATTGTGAAGCAGAGCAGTATTACCACAAAATTGCATTCAGTTTACAAGGACTGTTAGTCATCCAGTCTTACTTAAAACCGTTAACATAAACACAAGTCCTGGTCTGTTAACTTTGAAAAATGAGTCTCGAAGAAATGGTATTGTGGCTTGTCTGCTGAAAGCCAGAATTATGAAGCCAGCAGAGACAGCAGTTGCTATGGAACGGCTCTGGAAATGTGCCTGTTTCTGGGCAGTGGCTCAGTAGCCATCACGTTAAGGCTGCAACAGATGCACACAACAGTAGAAGAACTGTTGGATACAGTGTTTTCTATGTGGTCTGTCCCAAGGCTATATAATGAGTACCAGCTGCCATTACCAAAGTCGGAAGTCACCCGTGTGGAGGCAGCGTTGAGTACCTCCACCATGACCCTGCAAGTCCTAGGAGGTGACGAAAAGGGAAGTCTCAAATCTGAGACAGTAAAATACGATCACGAATCCCAAGGGAATTGGACCCGAAAAAACTGCGCTGGCAAGGACCAGCAGCATATAGAAAATACAGACCCAGCCTCTTGTCAGAGAAAACAAGACTGTAACTGTGAAACAGCAATTAATATCTGGTCACGAGCCCCAGATGTGGCTTGACACCAAGAATTACAGACTGACTGACCGTCAGTCTCAGTGTGACTTTGACTTTGATTACCGAAGTCAAAGTTACATTGCGACTGACTGTCGGTCGGTCAGTCAGTCAGTCTTGGTGTCAAGCCCAGTCTGAGGCTTATGACCAGATATTTATTACTGTTTGACATTTTCAGTCTTGTTTTTGTGGGGCGCCCTCTCTGACGAGAGGACTGGTCTGTCTTTTGTCGGAGTCATTGTCTGCAGTATTAAGTGATTCGTCATAATGTAAAGGATATTTACATTTTACATGTTAAACATGTTAATAAATGTATATAAAATATATACAGGGCTTCTGTCAGTCCAGGCTCATTGAATTTGTGGCAGCCTTCACATGATGGCTACTGAGCCGCTGCCCAGCAACAGGCACATTTACAGAGCCGAGGACCAGCTGCCATTACCAGTCGGAACCTGTGTGGAGACGGTCGAATACCTCCGCCATGACCCTGCGAGTTGTAGGAGGCAACGAGAAGGGAAGTCTCAAATCTGAGACAGTATAATATGATGGCCAGCCCTGAGGGAGTCAGACCTGAGAATGACTGAGCTGGCAAGGGCCAGCAGCATATACAAAAGACAGACCCATCCTCATCAGAGAGGGCGCCCCACAGAAACAAGACTGTAACTATGTAAGATTTGAGGCTTTCACAGCGGTGACTATGAAGAAAGCAGTTTTCTGGTATTTGGCACCGTGTATATGTGGTGTTAACCGACGTTTCGGAGGAACGTATCGCCTCCATCTTCAGGGTAGAAGAAAAAAAAATATATAAGAAATCTGCAAGCGAAGAGACCGTGAGAACCGGTAAAAGCAGACTGTGTTGGAAATATACACAGCTATGTTTGAGCAGAGAAGGAAGGGGGGAAGGGCAAGTATACAAGTGAAAACAGTAGTGTGGGAGGGGGGGAAAGGAGCTGGGACAAGCATGGTTTTTGTGTTGGGGGAGAGAAAGGCAAGGTTAAAGGCTGGGCACTAACCCGTAAGCTGAGGGGGGGTTGTTATGTTGGTTGGTCATGGCCTGTGTGGCCTTCTGGATCTGGCGTCATATCCCGGTGGGGGTTTTTAAGAGAACAGATGGGTTTCCAAGACTTGCTGAGACAAAACCCCCCCCCCCTCTTTGTTCATATTTCCTGGATGCAGTTCAATCTCAATTGCTTTCTTCAAGACTGTAACTGTCAAATAGTAATAAATATCTGATCTGGGGCTTGACACCAAGACTGATTGCAATGTGATTGACTTTGACTTTGATTTTGATTACCAGTCCAAGTAGGGTCTGAATTGATAGTGTAGAGAGTCAGTCAAGGGAGAGTCTGCAGGCAGTCATTTCAGAGTTGCAGAAGCTGCTAGCTGAGGCTGGTGACAGTTTTGGATTCCAGAGGAAGAGGAAAATTTGCCATCGGAATCAACTGCCAAGCAGTGCAGCGAATATCATGACAGAATGCTAGTCATTGTGTGATAGTGATCTGTAAGGAGTATTAATGAATTGTGTGTTGAAATCTGATTGTCAATCCAAACCTGTCTATAGTCACTCCAACATGTGACATATTTAATACTGATGAGCATGATAATGCAGTCAGAATAGTGAGGTTCAGTCCCTGGCTGAGGTTGAAGTTTTCCACTTCATTACCATATCCATGCCACTTCTGATGCCCATCCAGCCTCCTGTGCAATGGATATTGGAAGCTCTTTTTCCGAGGTAATATGCCTAGATTGTGAATAAAGCCACTTGTCCACTTGATGAGGTTGATTTTATTTGTGATTTGTCTAATGACACTTTCAACAGCTAAGACTGTACAATGTCACACATTAGTGAATATGGTGGTAGGGAGGTGGAGCTATTTGTGGCCTGACATTCAGCCATAACTTTTTCTTGAAGCACAGCATTATTAGTGATGGTATTCAAAATTCTCATGGTGGTGACTTCAAAGAGTGCTGTTGACTGGAATGTGGTTTTGTCTCAGGACAGATCCATAAATATCTGGAGCTTATTAGAATATGGAGAAAAATCTAATGGCTATCACCATCTTGTTTAAGTGTGTTAATACATACTTGCAAATTTATGATTTTCTGTTTTTTTTTACCATAATCTCATTGGAGCAAGAACTTGGAACAGGTATATGGAACTGAAGTTTCTTTTGTGTCAGTAGCTGATGTATTCTGTTTATGAATGGCTAAGATTAATACAAATTTAGTAATGTATGTAAGGGAACAGAATGAAGGTTGTAGGTTTTATATTGGCAAACTTGCAGCTGTTACCACTAAATTTTCAGTTACTCATAAGATCAAGACATTTCCATTCCAGATTAGAGAATAAAGTTCATAATAAAATTAAATTAAGAATTGTTAGTAATCAGTTGATTTGCTTTCCTTACAGAGAAGGGTAAGGCCTCATCTATTCCACCAATTGATGTGAGTATCTTCTGATAATAAGTTCTTGCTTAAATACAGTAGGTAAATATAATGCATCATAGAGCTTCTAGTAAATAGAATGTAGACAATGTCAGAGTACAATACATCATCATCATCATCATCATCATCAGTAATCTGTCAGACGACAGGTCCACAGTCTCTTCCAAAACAATTCCTCCACTTAATGCGATCTAGAGCTTTCTCCTTCAAATGACAGTATCCTCTTCTGTCTCCAAGGTCATCCAGCATCTTCTTACGTCTTCTTCATCTTCTTGTCACTTCTATCCGCCCCTCTATCTTTCCTTCGATAACTTCTTTTAGAAGGCAGTTTCTGCGTAAAACATGACCAATCCAATTAGCCTTCCGTTTTCTTATTTCGTGTAGGATATTCCTCTGTTCACTGACTCTAATTAACACTTCTTCATTTCTCACATAATCGGTCCAACTGCTCCATCCTTCTCCAACACCACATTTTGAAACTTTCCAGATGTTTCTGATCTATTGCCCTAAGTGTCCATGTTTCAGCCCCATACAGAGCTATGCTCCAAATGTAGCATTTCACTAGTTTCTTCCTCAAATTTAAGTCCAATTTGCTGGTAAAAAGATTCTTCTTCTTGCTAAATGCAGCTTTTGCCATGGCAATCCTGGATTTAATTTCACAAGTACACCTTCCATCATCTGTTAACAAGCTACCCAAATATTTAAAACATTTCACATTCTCCCATTGTTTTTGGTCTATCTTTAATGTGACTGGGGTTGGTTGTCTCGAAATTTTCATTACTTTTGTTTTCTCCACATTCATTTCCATGCCATAGCACCTTCCAATTTCAATTAGTCTATCAATCATGCCCTGTAGCACAGTTTCTTCCTTAGCCATTAACACAAGGTCATCTGCATATTTCACAGTTTGAATAATTTGCCCTCCTACTTTGAAGTCACCGAGCCCATCCAGAGCTTCCTTGGTAAGGCATTCGCTGTACAAGTTGAACAGAATTGGTGATAAACAGCATCCTTGTCGAACTCCTCTTCCAATCTGCACACTTCCTGTCTCCCCCCTGTCCAGTCGTACTCTAACTTTCTGATCCATGTACAATTTGCTAATCAATCTTCTTTCATGCCAATCGATACCTGTTTCTTTCAGGATCTGCATTAATTTGGTCCAGTTTACCCGGTCAAATGCCTTCTGCCAGTCTATGAAGCAAACACACAGTTCTTCATCTATCTCCAAAGTTCGTTCCGCTATAATTCTCATCATCCCAATTGCATCCCTGGTTCCTTTTCCTCTTCTAAATCCAAACTGATCTTCTCCAAGTACATCCTCTATTTTCCTTTCAATTCTTCTTTTAAGTATCTTTGCTATTATCTTTGCTGTATGTGCAATAAGACTTATTGTGCGATGGTCGCTGCATTTTGTAGCTTTTGTCTTTTTCTTTAAGGCAATCATTGTAACTTCTGTAAAGTCCTTGGGCCACTCTCCACTTTCATATATGGTGTTCATTAGTTTTGTCAGTGTTTTCAAACCACCTTCTCCCAGTAACTTGAGCACATCTCCAGGTACATCATCATCTCCTGTAGCCTTTCCCTTCCTCATTTCCTTGATAGCTTTTTCCACCTCACTTTGTAAAATATATGGTCCTTTCTCGTCTGTATCTACTTCTTCTTCCGGTTCAACTTCTAAGGTTTCTGGCCGATTAGGTCGATCATATAGTTCTGAAATATAATTTTCCCAAATTTTCAGCACTTGCCTCTGATCTACTATTCTATTCCCCTGGGAGTCTTCGATGCCAACATTTTGAATCCCATGATTCTCTTTCCATCCTAGTTCTTTTGTCTTCATGTACATCAAATCATAACGGCCTGTTCTTTGAAATTCCATAATCTCATTACATATCTTCTCAAGATATTCCTTTTTGGCCCTGTCCGTGGCTCTTTTCAATTCATTCCTCAGTCTCCTGTATTTCCTCCTGCCTTCTTCATTGTTGACATTCTTCCATTTTCTTCGCTCCTCCATTTTACTCATCATCTCCTGTGTAACCCATGGTTTTCTTGCTATCTTCTCAACTTTACCTACCAAATCACTGATAGTATCTAACATGCATTCTTTTATATCGTTCCACTGCGCTTCAGCATTTCCGCTTTCACCTTCAATTGCACCGAGTTTCTCTTCTAGAGTCTCTTGCACGCTTTGTCTTTGAGCATATAACTTCTCCAAATCCCATCTGGGTCTGCGCTTTCGAAATCCTATAATTTTCTTCAACCTGGTTCGGAACTTGGCAACCAGCAAGTTGTGGTCAGAGTCAATGTCTGCCCCAGGAAGCGTCTTCACATCCTTCACACTGTTTCTGAATCGATGTTTCACAAGGATGTAGTCCAGCTGATGCCTCTTCCAATCCCCAGGTGCCTTCCATGTGTAAATTCTTCTCTTTGGCTTCTTGAACCAAGTGTTGGTAACAGTCAATCCATTTCGTTCACAAAAGTCAATAAGCATTTGACCTCTGTGATTCCGTCTTCCTAGTCCATGTGATCCAACAATATTCTGATATGGTTCATCTCCAACAATGCTGTTCCAGTCTCCCAATATGATGCTGTTTGTGTCACCTCTTCCATCTTCCTGAAGAATTTCTTCAGTTGTGTCATACACTTTTTCCAGTTCATCATCTTCATACTTTGATGTTGGCATGTACACTTGCATAATCAGTATATCTACCAGTTCCACCTTTAACTTCAGAGAAATAATTCTGTCATTACAAACGATCTTCTTAACAACACTCCCCACTACACTTTTATGCACCACTATTGCCACACCTCTTTCAGCCCGTTCACCTCCGGAATAATACACTGTATAATCACCACTTCTTATTTCACCTTGTCCTTTCCACCACACTTCGCTGACACCTAGAACAGACACGTCATTCTTCTGCATTTCAGTTTTCAAATTCTCCAATTTGCCTGCTTGATTCAAGGTCCTTACATTCCATGTTCCAGTCTTGTATCCGTGATGTTCCTTCTGATCTTTGCACTTTTTCTTGTAATGCCTGCATGACATTTCCTCTAGAAACCCCCCCCCCCCCCCAGAGATCCGACTGGGGGATTAGTTTACCTCCGGATTGTTTTGTCTCCAGAGGAAACATCTGGCAAATATGGTATCTCTGTTTTTGGAAAGAGACTATCCAGGAAAAGTGATAATGTGGTAGTTTTTCCATTTGCTTTCCACATCGTAGTACAGCAGCCGTTCAAACCACTCTGGTCACGCCTGTTGCTATATGAGCTTGAAACATCTCGAGCATCATTTGCTCTGCGCTTCAAGTCGCTACTGATGATGCTGCTTCCAGCATCAGTTTTTGGTGTCTCTCTTCATCTGATGCCTACCCTTTGACCTGTCCAGCAAGGGAGGCCCTGCCAATAGCTACGCTACCGCTGGTATAGCTCTCAGGGTCCTTGGCATACTGAAACCCCCTCAAGAGTACAATACATCACATCCAAAAAGATAGGTGGAAGTGAAATGTAGTTATAGAAACATATCTCAGACTAAAATGAACTGCAATCTGAATACACACATAATTACATTTATTAATGATTCTTTAGCATTTATTCTGTATCTATGGAAATAAATAGATCTCAAGTGGACACTTTATATGTTTATTATCAAACTAGCTGTGCCCGGCCACGCCTTGCTGTGGCTTAGTCTGCCTGTTCTTCCCCAATTTGATTTGAAATTACTTGACGCATTGCTTCTGCTCTGCGAGTACGATGACCTAAGCTTGTTCTTAGAGAACGAAAAGAAAAACAATGAAAAATAAACTATACTTACAAAATAACTTCCGCGCACATCGCAGATTCAGTGAATAAGTTATTGAACGCTCACTTTTACACCAGGGAGCACAACTATTATCACGTCCAGTATCACCGAAAATTTCTTTGGAGCTGGACTGTTATAACCCGGTTTCGGATGCAATAGATTGGACTTTCGCCCAGGGTTCCATTTCATGTGTTCTTTGCTCGTTGCCGCAGAAATGCATTATTTCCGCTGTTTCAACAGTTCGTTGCCACGGTTATTCCAAGGCAAAGATGTGCTGTTTCAGCAGTTCATTGCAACAGTTATTCCAAGGCAACGACCCGCTGTTTCAACAGTTCGTTGCCACAGTTATTCCGAGGCAACGACCCGCTGTTTCAGCAGTTTGTTGCCACGGTTATTCCTAGGCAACGATCCGTTGGTATTCGATGGACAACATGTAACACGTTACAGTATATTAATATTGAATACAATTAATACTTTTACCTGTTTTTACCTGTCACGGGTGTGACATCTACATAATAGGCATATAAAAATGCACGTGTTCAAATGCAATGTTGTGTCAAAATTTGAAAGCAATCGGTGAAGAAATTTCGGAGATCTTCAAGGAGAGTCAAGTCAAACCAACAGTTACATTTTTATTTATATAGATTAATACACCATGCAAATAACTATATACATATATTTGGCACGTCATTCACTGTTCATAAGCAGTATGATCATTAATACATGTACAGGCTGTTTGCTATAAAATATGTTAACATACATATAAATGTAGAACTGTACATAAAATTTATAGGCAGACATATATGATTAAAGTCTGTTAATCACTTCTTAGCAGTATAAATTCAACTGAACAGGAATTGTGGATCAGAAGGAACTCTTTCAATGTTGCTGAGACAGGTTGTCTAAGATCCATAAACAGAAATATTTGAACCACAGAATTATTGTGAAGATACCCATTTCTAGGCATCATCATAGTAAACAGATATCCTTGGCAACAAACACTTGGAAGTCAGGGAGCTATTGAAACCTTGTCCCATGTGTGCACCAGTCACGGAGGCTTCGGGGGCATGTAATGTTGGCATTCTTGCTGAGGGGTGTATAAGGAAGTGGACCAGACCAGTCAGTCATAGAGTGGAGTCTGGCTTTGAAGACTGCCAGAGCCATCATACAGTAAAATATGGTCATGAGTTCCGTGAGACTCAAAACCAAGAATCACCGTGCTGGTGAGGGCAAGCAGCAATTTATCAGTCAGTCACACTGTGAGGAACCAAGCAGCTAATTGCAAATGATTGTGTATGCCTATAAACACCTAAGCATAAGAGGAGGTAGTACCAAATAATGCATTGCTGACCAGAGCCCACAGTGTAACCATTTCTTGTGACAGTGCTTGTTTATTGTTAGTGGATAAACATTAAATTTTAAGGTGTATGTATGTATGTATGTATTGTCGCGTATCGGGCATATAACGCGACAGATAACTTCACGAGGTATTTGATGTAAGCGAATTTTATTTCACACTCGCTCATACACTCACCCAAATTACAGATTTACGATTACTGCTATCTGCAGTATCACAATTAGTACATTCCAAATGCCACAATACAACTGACTGGTTGCTGGCTAACTCAGAACTAACTCGGAGGTAGCTCCAGGACTAACTGACTGACTGACTGACTGTGAATAGCCTTCGCTGCTCCTTATGTAGCCTTGATCGGACAACACGGAAAACGGCCACGTAATAGGCACCCTTGTTGCCTGGCACTGTGTTGCTAGTAACGCTAGCGGTAGTAACCGCTGTTACTACCGTAACAATCCTGTTGCGTCACCGTTACGTTACCGTGCGGAGGAGGGGGAGGGGAGCGCTGACTCACCCGCTGCGTCACTGCTGGTGGGGGGGGGGTTCTCCTTTGCGCAACATGTCACAGTATGTATGAAAGGGTAGGCCTTCTTGGCCCTTGCACTTAGACCTCAGTGGTCCGTTGTGCTTCCCCCCCCTTTTTTAATTATTCCCTCAGCAACCCCACGCTTCGGATGAAGCGCAGGATTTTGGACGTGGGGGCGTCAAAGTAGTCACTTGGCTCCATAAAGTACTGACCCAAGTGACGTCTTAAATAAGCTAAAGCCTCACATTTACACAGGACGTGTGTGACGGTTTCATTTTCTATCTGACACCTCTCACAAGTGGGACTGTCACTTAGTCCCAGTTTGAACAGGTGTCCTTTGAGGTGACGGTGTCCTGTAAGTAGTCCTACCACCCATCGTAGCTGGTTCCTGTTGAGCTTAAACAGTTCCTTCGCTCTTTTAGTGGAAGGTCCTCGTATGAGTCCCTTAGCTTGCCTGAGTCCAGTTAAGGATTCCCAGTATTTCTTATGTTTTATGTTAGTCCAGTCCCTGATTGCCTATTTGGCAACTCCTATAGAGATGTCACAGGCTGGTTCAGGTTCTATGAACGGATGTTGAGCTCCAATTTTAGCTAATTGGTCTGTTGCTTCATTTCCAGCAATACCCTCATGCCCCGGCACCCATATCAGTTGTACCCTGTTATGTTTGGCCAGTTCCGTGAGGGTTTGGTGGCAATCCCAGACCAGTTTTGAATTGATCTGGTGTTTGTCAAGTGCTTTAAGTGCAGCTTGGCTGTCAGATAGAATGTAGATGTTCCTATTTCTATAGTTCCTATCTAAATTCTCCATAATACATGCTTTAATGGCATATACTTCTGCCTGGAATACTGTTGTGTACTGCCCAAGGCTGAAACTAAGTTTCCACATTGTGCCATGGCAGTACACACCAGCTCCAGTGCCCTTATTTGTCTTGGAACCATCTGTATACAGATCAGTCCCCCTTTTCTATCAGGTTGAAACCCGTCCTTCCATTCACTCCTGTCAGGAAATCTGACTGTGAAGGGGTTTTCATATACATGTCTCAGTATCATTTTGTCAGACCCCATTTGTAATATGGGTTCTTTTTTCATGTCCTGAGTCATGTATGCATGGCCAAAACTATCAGATCTAGGTTTCCATTGTCCACTGCACTGGAGATGGTAAATTCCTACCCTGGACTCTGCATCCAACTGTACATGCAGTGGGGGGAGTCCAAGGAGTATCTCTAGTGCAGCTGTTGGAGATGTTCGAAATGCTCCTGTAATACCTAAGCAAGCCAACCTTTGCAGTTTGCTAAGTTCTGTCTTGCTTGTTTAACTCTGGGCCACCAAACTGTGGCACCATAAGTATTTTAAGGTGTAGCTAATATAGTTTATACCAGCATTATTTTGTTGCACACAAGTTAGCATGGATTATTGGATCATGATTGATCTTATTGAAGTGATTTTTAAAGTGGGTTTTGTTTTAAAGATGTCTTGTGCAAATTGCTTTCAATATTGAGGGCACTGATTAACAGTGCAAGAACAAAAGGGTGAGAAATCTGTTCATAGGTGATGTCTTTAAAGCCAAATGTATTGCCTTGTGTAGGAAGAATGAAAGGAGATTATATGTTCACCTTGTTACCTTGTGATTAAAGGATTCATATGATTTACTTCAGAACTTAAGAAGTTACATAGGGAAACAATACACAGTAGTGTAAGAGGAAAATTACAGAAGTATCACATTCATATTTAGAAGAAGTCACTGCCTTTGCACACTGTCAGTTTTCATCTATGTCATAGAAGAATATAACATTGAAAAATAATTTCTTTGAAAATTTCTTCTTCAGAAAGATTGGAGGAATATGTTGGCGGTTTTCTTGTGAGATTCTCATTACATTTCCTGTGTTCAGACGGCAGCAGCAGCAGCAACAAATGCATCAAGCGGGCCCAAGACACCAACTGGCATTTCACGCCACAAGTCAGAAAGAGAACGGAAGATTGGACATCGGCGTGTTGGTGTTGGTGGAGAAATTACATATAAAAAGGTACACATTCTTATTGTGATGTTCAGGAGAATATAAATTTTGAAACATACATGATTGTTATGTTTGTTAATAAAAGTATTACTTTCACATCTAGATCCAAACAACCCAAATCATGGGTTCCATCCAACTTGGTATTCAGCATGCAGTCGGGGGTCTGGCATCGAAACCAGAAAGAGATCTCCTTATGCAAGATTTCATGACAGTAGAAACAACTAATTTTCCAAGTGATGGTTCCAGCCATACACCTGCTCATCATTATTCAGAATTTAGGTTCAGAACATATGCCCCTATAGCATTCCGATACTTCCGTGACCTATTTGGTATACAACCCGATGACTTCTTGGTGAGTAATGAAACATTAATGTGCAGTTTAATATTATACTGAAGTAACTCATTGCTTATTGTGAAGTAATACATTACTTTACTGAATGCAGATAATTTCTTGGAAAGTTATCATACAGGGTCATTGAAAACAGGGAATTCTGTACCTGATATAAGTTGTTCCTTGGTGTTAATAAAATGTTATGCCCAGAAGTTTGTTAAGAAAGTAGAAGTAAAAGATAAATGTGGAAGTCCAGTGTTTTCTGGGTTATAACAGTGCCATGCTTTATATACCATCATATTTACTTTTTCTGTTAGTGGCCACAGAAGAAAAACAGTACTTGAACCAGAAACAGGATACATCTTTTTGTTTACTGCTATGACATTTCTGTAGTATTTTGATACACAGTATTTTCTTATAATTTTGAATGGTGAGGGATGATTTTGTTTTTGTAACTAATCAATACTGCCAAGCACAGAGAACTGTTTATTTGAAGTTACAGTTTTGAAGGTGCAGTTTTGCTTGTGATCAAGAAAGATTATGAAAGTCATGATAGTAACATAAAAAAGAATTTGTTTCCTGTATGTATATGTTGCAGATTTCAATGTGTAGTGTACCTCTTAGAGAGCTGTCAAATCCTGGTGCTAGTGGAAGTATTTTTTACTTGACAGAGGACGATGAGTTTATTATTAAAACTGTCCAGCATAAAGAAGGTGAATTTCTTCAGAAACTTTTGCCAGGTTATTATATGGTAAGTATGGTATATAAAGTTTATATTATTAGTTGTTTTATTTTTATGTTAACAGTTTGGTTAACATTCAATTCAGAATGCAGCTGTGTGAACATCATACAGTTTAATCAGTAAATGATTAATGCACTCTACCTATGTTGACCATTTGGACGTCATCAGTGGGTGGTTATTGTGTTACTAAAAGGAAGTGAAAGTTTTAGAGCTGCATTACCAGTTTTAATAAAATTAAAATTACTGTTAAACATTCATATCTAAAACATTAAAATGCAGTTATTTATGACTTGAGTGCAGATGTTAGCTCAGTCAGTTCCTTTCTAGTGTTTCTGTTCTCTAGTTGATCATAATCTGGAGGGCATTCAAGGGTTCTTATCCAACACTCTTTGAACCATTAACCCTAGTAGCAGAGATGTTGAGGATCACCAGTGCAATTTCAGTGGAACAATACATCAGATACCAGTAACATTTCTTGTATTCAAAGAAGAAGTTGGATTACTGTGTTCCAGTTTGTCTGCTATTCAGCTGTTTGGAGACTTTGAAAAGCTTGTGAATTAGGAGGGAGAGTACTGCCTTCTGGGATGTTATGAGAAGTTCACTGACATTTTTCAGGGAAATACCACCCCTATCTTCATGGTCAAAAAATGAAAAAAGAAAGCATACAGAAAGCAGAACTCCTTGTTGGCTATTTGCTTGGCTGTGATCATGTTGATGGAGACAGCATGTTCCTCCAAACCAAGGGATGCCTTTTGTCATTCCTTGTTTTAATTTTTGTTCAGGGTATGCCATTAGGAATGTAGTTTTGGAGAGCTGGGGCGATTTGAAAGTGAATTAAACATATAGCTGCTAATATGTGGATGGTTGTTAGGCAAAAATATGGTTGCTATAAAGAGAGGCACAGAAACTTAATAGTAGTTATTGTTGAGGACTGTGACTGTAGTTGTGTTTGTGACAGAAAACAAGTAGACGGAGTCACAGTATTTGCCTGCCTACCTGATAACTTGCAGGATATGCCAGACCCCCTCAGATATGGTCATAGATACCAGACCATAACTGTAGTCATCTTAATCTGCAGATAAGCATAGAAAGCAGAAAGTATAGTTTAATTTGTTGTCACTGTCCCGGTGAAAATATTTTGCATGCTTGTTTTCTTCCTAGTAGAACCTGAAGATATAACTGTATATAGCTTTCCTTGGATAAACGACCTAAGCTAATGAAAATGGATATGAGATTTGGCACTTGGAATGTATGAAGTTTGTACAGGGCAGGTTCGCTCAGGGCAGTGGCAGAAGAAATCTTATAATATAAGTTAGATTTAGAGGGAGTTCAGGAGGTCAGATGGGATGGAGGTGGAATCGCACCAGCAGGAGAGTATACATTTTTCTATGGAAAAGAGAATGAAAATCATGAATTAGGTACAGGTTTTTTCGTACATAAGAGAATCGTATCAGCAGTTAGAGGGTAGAATTTGTTAGTGATAGGATATCATATATAATACTAGAAGGTCACTGGGGTGATATCATTGTTATGAATGTTCACGCCCCAACATAAGATAAAATTGATGACATAAAGGATAGATTCTATGAAGAACTAGAACATGTATTTGATAAATTCCTGAAGTAACCTATGAAAATTTTTTTAGGAGATTTCAATGCCAAAGTAGGGAGGGAAGACATTTTCAAACCAAGAATTGGGAATGAGAGTTTGCATGAAGTTAGTAATGATAATGGAGTTAGAGTTGTAAACTTTGCCACATCAAAAAATCTTACTGTCAAAAGTACAATGTTACCACATCGTAACTTTCATAAATTTACTTGGACGTCTCCTGATGGGAAGATACACAGTCAAATAGACCATATTTTGATAGATAGGAGACGGCACTCAAGTATACTTGATTCAGATCATTCAGGGCAGCAGATTGTGATACTGACCAATACCTGGTGGTGTCAAAGGTTAGGGAAAGACTGGCAGTGAGCAAACAAACAACACACAGAGTTCATATGGAGAGGTTCAATCTCAAGAAATTAAATGAGGTAGAGGGTAAAGAGCAGTATTGTGTTGAAATCTCAAATAGGTTCACGGCTTTGGAAAACTTGGAAACTGAGGTGGATGTTAATAAAGCTTGGGAAACTATTAGAATGTAAAAATGTCTGCCAAAGAGAGTCTGGGTTATTATGAACCGTAGAAGCATAAGCCGTGGTTTGGTGAAGGATGCTCAAAATTATTAGATCAAAGAAAGCAGGCCAAATTGGAAAGGTTACAGGATCCAAGCGAGTTAAAAGGGCATACTCTGAACAATATAAGATGTGAAACCAGCAGGCATTTCAGGAACAAAAAGAGGGAATATCTCAAAGACAAAATTGATGAGCTTGCAATGAACAGTAAGAACAAGAACATTAGACACCTGTATAGAGGAATAAATGACTAACACATTGCGGACCGGTGGTTTAAACATTTAAATCACCCTGGGGACCGGCGTTTTTAAACCTACTACCCTAACTTGTGCACTGTTCACTTTAAAAATTAATATAAAATCTCCTAATTAATTTTATGAACTGAAATTTTTTGAGAACACTTACCAGTGCTCCTAGAAGTGCTTGTGCATGTGATATCTCTGGAAACATTCCCCTTTGTGAAGAGGCATTTCGCAGAATTGGCACATTTAGGCAGTTGTACTCTTCTTGTGCTCTGCATACACACGGCACTACCTAGAAGGGTGTTTCTTCTTGCAATATTCACTCTTCACAGTTTTCACGAGAATATGTTTCTGCATATCACCCGAGATTCGGCCAGGGGGGGTCTACTTGAGGCCTCCGGCGGGTGCGAACAGATGGCCCCGGCTGCACTACGTCTGTGTCTGACGCAGGTACTGCCGCCACCGTGACGTCAGTAGCCCAAGCTTTTGCCGGTTTCAACAGAAATGCTTTGTATTTCAAAGTAGAATTTCTGTTCACCTTTTTGAAAACCGTAAATGAATTGAAAATCGCAGAGTTTATAAGTCACAGTGCAACTTTGTTCATCCATTTTACTGTTTTCCTAGGTAGGGAATAATAGGCCAAGAACACTACGTCTGTGTCTGACGCAGGTACTGCCGCCACCGTGACGTCAGTAGCCCAAGCTTTTGCCGGTTTCAACAGAAATGCTTTGTATTTCAAAGTAGAATTTCTGTTCACCTTTTTGAAAACCGTAAATGAATTGAAAATCGCAGAGTTTATAAGTCACAGTGCAACTTTGTTCATCCATTTTACTGTTTTCCTAGGTAGGGAATAATAGGCCAAGAACTGGTTGGCCCTGTCAACTCCTTTCATGAACATATTATACTCGGAAATATAAAAAGGCTTTCTTACTTGCCCGTGTCGTCTTTGAACATCGACCATGCTCGAATTGTGAATAGTGGAAACCATATTCACAACACGGGTATCCCACCAGGACTGAAGAAGAATGTCCCCCTTCCTCCTGAATGCGGTGTCGCCATGTTTCAGGCGTTTACATTCCTCTTTCAGATCTGGAGGGAGGCCTCTGTTCACCCTAAGTGTACCACAAATATGTACTTTCCTTTCGCACTTTCAACGGAGCTCTCACTTTCACTTGACACATTTTGGGCAGCCCTGTGGCCCCTGTCACTGTCACTGATAATGGCCTCCCTATCAGAAGACGAAGCAGTTGGCAAATCTGATAGCTCATCGGAGAACATATCTAATATTTCCTGTCCTCCGAGAGATCGCAACTGCTTTCGTCTCTGAGCCATGTTAACTGGTAGTTTCATGGTTGATACGTGCAAGCTTGGATTAGAACAACGCCAATTTTGTTTAGGTTGTGACAGGAAATGACTCTGGTCGAGTTACTAGATAAGGCAGCAATCATTCCCGAGGTCATCTATGCAGTAGTTACGATTCAACGAAGCCACACAGTGATATATAGCGTTTTGCAACATAACATGACCATAGAGGGCCATATGGCCCACCCGGTCCGCAATGCTTGGAAACGTAGCGAGCCATATGGCCCCTCTGGTCCGCAATGGGTTAAGAGGTGTTACCAACCTAGCAGTAACTTAGTGAAGCACGAGAATGGTGATCTGCTTGCAGATTCCCACAACATTTTGAATAGGTGGAGGAACTACTTCTCTGTTATTGAATGTACATAGGGTCAATGATGTTAGGCAGGCAGAAATCCATACAGCTCAACCGTTAATACCTGACCCTAGCCCTTTTGAGGTTGAAAGTGCTATTGCAAAATTGAAACGGTATAAATCGCCAGGTAGTGATCAAATTCTGGCAGAACTTATTCAAGCAGGAGGTGAAATGTTACATTCTGAGATCCACAATCTGATTACTTCTATTTGGTATAAGGAAAACTTGCCTGATCAGTGGAAGGAATCTATTAATGTACCAGTTCACAAGAAGGTTGATAAAACTGACTAGTGATTATCGGGGGATATCACTGCTATCAACTTATAAAATTTTGTTCAATATTCTTCTTTCAAGGTTAAGTTCACATATAGAAGAAATTATTGTGATCATCAGTGTGGGTTTTGATGTAACAGATCAACTACAGATCACATCTTTTGCATTCATCAGATATTGGGGAAGAAATGGTAGTACGATGAGACAGTACATCAGCTATTCATAGACTTCAAGAAAACCTATGATTCAGTTAGGAGGGAAGTATTGTACAATATTCTAATAGAGTTTGGGATACCCATGAAACCAGTTAGGTTGATTAAAATGTGTTTAAACGAAACGTATATTAAAGTCCATATAGGTAAACATTTGTCTGATAAATTCCTATCCAGAATGGTTTAGAACAAGGAGATGCCTTATTGCCACTCCTTTTCAACTTTGCCTTAGATATGTAATTAGGAAGGTCCAGGGAAACCAGGTGGGACTGAAATTAAACGGGACACGTCAGCTGTTGGTCTACACTGATGATGTTAATCTACTGGGTGATAATGTAGATACCATAAAGAAAAAAACAAAAACTGTAATTGATGCAAGTAAAGAGGTTGGTCTAGAAGTAAACACAGAGAAAACTAAGTATATGTTATTGTTTCGTCACCAAAATGCAGGGCAAAATCATGACATAAAGATAGGAAACACATGTTTTGAAAATGTGGCACAGTTCAGATATTTGGGAACGTTGATAACAGATTGAAACATGATTCAGGAGGAAATTAAGAGGTGATTGAACTCTGGTAATGCTTGCTACCATTCAGTGCAGAACCTTTTTGTCTTCTCGTCTGTTGTCCAAAGACATAAAAATTGGAATATACAAAACTATAATTTTGCCTGTGGTTCCGTATGGGTGTGAAACTTGGTCTATGACATTAAGGGAGGAACATAGACTGAGGGTGTTTGAGAGCAGGGCGTTGAGGAGAATATTTGGACCAGAGAGAGATGAAGTGACATGAGGTTGGAGAAAACTGCATAATGAGGAGCTTCATTACTTGTACTCTTCTCCAAGTATAATTAGAATGATCAAGTCAAGGAGGATGAGGTGGTCATGTCATGTAGCATGAATGGGGGAGACGAGAAATGCATATAGGATATTGGTGGTAAAGCCAGAAGGAAGGAGACCACAGGGAAGACCAAGGCATAGGTGGGTGGACACTATTAGAATGGATCTTACAGAGATAGGATGGGATGGTATGGATTGGATAGATCTGGCTAAGGAATGGGGCAAATGGATGGCTCTTGTGAACATGGTAATGAACCTTCGGGTTCCAGAAAATGCTGGGAAATTCTTGAGTAGCTGCAGAATTGGCGGCTCCTCCAGAAGGGCTCAGCTCCATGAGTAAGTGAGTAAGTAAGTAAGTATAGCTGTAGTCTTTGTTACTGTTTCACATGGATGTGAAGATTGGTCTCACTCATAGGGACAAGGAAGAGAGGCATACAGATTTTTGGTTAGATGACTTCAAAGGGAGAGATTACTTGGAAAATCTGGGCTTAAATGGGAGAACAGTATTGAAATGCAAGTTGGTTGTGAAACTGATAATTAGATTAGATTGGTATTCTACCCCTGACATTTTTGTATTATCTTTATTGCTTTTGTTTACAGAACCTGAATCAGAATCCGCGTACTCTGTTACCGAAGTTTTTTGGGCTGTATTGCTATCAGTGTAATTCAAAGAATGTTCGAATGGTAGCAATGAACAATTTATTGCCTTCGTCTGTGAAGCTACACCAAAAGTATGACTTAAAGGGCTCTACATATAAACGCAAGGTGAGAAATGTGAAGACCTTTGATTGTTTGCAGTCATAATGTAATACAAGGTAAGATGATGATAAACTTGTTGTAATAATTTATTCTTTTCTTCACTGGTGTATTTAATGATACTTCCTCAAGAATGTAGTGTGGCATATTTGCTGAAAGCAAGAACTGTGGAGCCAGAGAAAGAGCCAGGTAACGACAGTGTGACACGCAGCAATGGAGTAATAATTAGAAATGGTGTTTTTGGTGTGGTCTGTGCCAAGGCCATATAACAAGGAGTCCTGAGGTGGCAGTTAGAAAAGTAGGAGGTTGGTGTGAGAAGGCCACCAGCATGGGGGTTAGTAAGTACATTTGAGTACAGTGGAGTGAATTGAGTTGGTGAGTTAGTGAGTTAGAGAACTGCAGTTTGGTCCTTGTAAGCTGCTCCTATTAGAAGCTGGTAGCTGAGGCACGTTGATAGTTACGATACCCAAAGTAAGGAGAGTGTCTGCTGTTGGAAGTCGCTACCAGGCAGTGACTGGTAAAGACAGCAGACTGAGAAAGCTAAGTATGTGCTGTAATGAACTGCAGTGTGTGTGAATTAGTGATGGTGCTATGGTTATTTGTAGTTATGGTCTGTAAGTGTTCAGTAAATCCAATTACTAATCCAAACCCCATGTATGGTCACTGTACCACATGACAGTAGGCTATATAGCAGTGAATGGGTGGACTATATGCAAGATGAATTGTGGTGTTTTACATATTCCTGAAGTCTTAATAACAGAAGTGGAGGCTGTGAGTTGTGCATAAAAAGGATCACCGCCTTGATCAGAAAGGATCATATCAAGATTTATCATTCACATTGATACCTTCATCTTTTGAGTTGGTAATTTAATTGAATTGGTGTTGCACTTATTTGTTACAGGCTTCTAAAACTGAAAGGCAGAAGAGTTCTCCAACGTATAAGGACCTTGATTTCATTGATCACCATCCAGAAGGTATTGGGTTGGAAGCTGATACGTATGCTGCACTTATCAAAACTATTCAGAGGGACTGTCGGGTTAGTTATTGAACTTTAAGCTGTTTTACTTGTGTTTGTGTAAATGAATAAATAAAAAGGAATTGTCATTTAATTGATTCTCTTTACTTTTCATTTGCTGCTAATGGGTGGTTATAAACTTTTTCATTTTGTGATAAAGCAAAGCACTTATCATCATATCAATGTACTTCATTTGTTTTCATTTTGTGTGCATTACAAATTTTCATATAAATTAAAATGGTTAATGGTTGCATGACAAATTGATGTTTCTGTTTATAAATGTATGTAATGTTTCTGTTGAATAGCTGTTAAAATGACTGGACTTGAAACTGCAGTGTTTAGACTGTCTTTTTTTTTTCTTTTTATCAATTTTTTCTGCTCTTCAGCTCAGTCATATTAATTTCCAGAACTTAACCCAAGTATGACTTGACAGGTCAGGATTTATACAGCTTTTGTCTGTATAAGTTTGATAACCATGACTGCATAATTTATCACTGATTGAGACTGAATTGGAGAGTAACAGATGCCAAGAATTATTTTATTGTACAATCTAGTCACACTTTATGCAAATTTGAATTAATGTGATATAAAAAATTCTAATACAGTCTCACTTTATATGCAAAGTTTGAAATAATCAGAGTCCCAAAGAGTTTGGCAAGAATCACATCTATGTTTTAAAGCTTGTTTTGAATTATGTGAGGTCTTCAGAAACATGTCCCTCATATAAAATGTGAGCACACTGTACTGTGTAAAATCCCCATGTAACTAAATGCAAGGAAACGAGATCTGTGAAATTTCAGAGTTATTCTGTATAAAGAGAATTGTAAATTATAAATCACTCCGTCCAATGTGACCTGTAAGTTTTTTACTACATAAAAACTTAACACCCTACATGTTTTGGTCTCTGTGGACCATCTTCAGAGGGTAAACATCACTACAAATAGGAAACCACTATCACATAATTTGTTTACACGCAAGATACGTACACTTATATGTTACAGCACACAGTACACAGAATAGAACATTCCCAGGAAACTGCTGTGTTTCCTGGGAATGTTCTATTCTGTGTACTGTGTGCTGTAACATATAAGTGTACGTATCTTGCGTGTAAACAAATTATGTGATAGTGGTTTCCTATTTGTAGTGATGTTTACCCTCTGAAGATGGTCCACAGAGACCAAAACATGTAGGGTGTTAAGTTTTTATGTAGTAAAAAACTTACAGGTCACATTGGACGGAGTGATTTATAATTTGTAATTGTTATTGTGATGGACCAGAATGAAACAAATCAAAAAGAGAATTGTATTTAAAAGTGCATAGTATCGCACTTGTTCAGGACATATTGTTTAGTTTCATATTGGTGTTTAAATTATGTGTACATTTAATTGCATGCTTTTATTTTTTATAACTTTTTCAAGGTAGGAGTTTCTTAAAGCTTGTCATTATCCATCTACTGTTCATTGAATATTTAATTTTTCCTGTCTCAATTTTAACTCGTGTTGTATGTCATGAAAACTATTTACTGTGCTTCAGGTGCTGGAAAGCTTCAAGATCATGGACTATAGCTTATTAGTAGGAATACACAATTTAGATCAAGCAGCCAGAGACAAAGCGGTGAGTTTCACATCATAATGCTATTAAAGTAGACGTTTGTAATAATTTCTCTATTTCATTGATGTGATATAGCATGGGATTTGACTATCTTCTCTGCCTCTAAGCGATGTGAAGGTTAGTATTATGGAAATGTCAATTTACAGAAATATTATCACATCGTATCATTGTGATGACGGAGTTGCAAGGAAATCTGTACAATAATGAAACTGAAATTATGTGCACATTCTATATGGACTCAGCAAAATTTAAGGTACTACATATCCCCTTCATTTATTTTCTTCTGGAGTACCTGACAAACTGAGGTATACAGAGAGATAATTAGAATTAGTTCACATACATATTTGAGTACATAGGTATAAATGTGAAGGCATTTAAAGAACCCAGTATTTTCTGCATTGCATTGCATTCCATGGATCCAAAGTTAGTCAAAATGACTGTAGGATGTGGAATATGTCATATAAATACAAAACATATGTACAGACCCAGTGGAGTTCTCACACAAGAGAAACCAAGAATACACAGTGACTACACACAAGGCTATTTAACCCTTTCGCGCGGTCATTTAAATTCCGCGGCCGTCTCTCCGGCGGTAATATATTCAGCCATCCATTTAAATTTTGCTCGAAAATGATTTATTCATCATTGTTCTTAAATTATATGAGATAGGAACATGAAACTTTTACTAAAATGATCTTAAAAGGTGGTTTTATAGCCTTACCTTATAATATGAGCGCCCTGTATCTCGGCAATGGAAGCAGGTTGTTTAGTATTTGAGCAGTGAATGGTACGCCTTGAAGGATGAAACTTTCACTAAAATGATCTTAAAAGATGGTTTTTATAACCTTACCTTATAATATGAGCGCCCTGTATCTCGGCAATGGAAGCAGGTTGTTTAGAATTTGAGCAGTGTAAGGAAGGCCTTGAAGCATTCGTCTAACCCAACGGTGCCCCACATTCACCGCTCCAATATTGTGTATCTTTTCTTTGGCCCTTTTTTTTTAACCACACATCTGTGCGGCCTTGCCTTCTTCCCCGTGAGGGGTAGACGTTCAAGGAAATGTCTTTCCGTGACCCGTTTAGTTGCCAGGTCAGCTGTAGTAAATTCAACGTTACGAGTTATCATAGCAAGGGACTGTTGCTATGCCTTTGATATTCCATTCATTTTGGCGGCAGTAGATGTCATAGGGGTGACCACAGAATTCATGAAGTTATTCTAAGAACTGGCTGGTAT